TAGAAACGGTAGAAACAAGCCAGCACTTCCTTCTTGACTGTAACACGTTTGGGAGGCCAAGCCTTAGACACTTGGGGGCGCATACCTTCAGACATCCCACCGAACCGGCGGGTGTTGAAGTTAAGCGCCTTTGTAATTATGTATTGGCTTCAAAGCGCTTCGCCAATTTGTAAGTCCGAATACGATAGTAATTTTTCAATGGCATCACAAAGGACTACATTATTAGTATACGTGTGATCTCTGATCAGCCATCCAACCTAACCTAATATATTAACTTTGTTCATATTTTGTGCTGGGATTTTGAAATATTCTACAACAATTTATAGTAGTCTACCAGTTGATATCAAGAGAGATGATTGTACCATATTGAAAGTTAAAGAGATCAGTTATAATAAGAAGACTGAACTCAAATATTGCTAACATATGAGGATTTGTAATGCGTCTTCAAGAAGTTTAAGGTTTCGAACAAGGTAGCCGAGAGTCTTGAGATGCATGTACAAATTCGATAGTTTGCTGAAATCACGTCCGAAACAATAACGGTTAAATTTTGCTAAGTAAAGGTATGCTTCGAGTGAATTTCTGACTAGGAAAAATTCCAATTGCCAATAATATGGAAGCACATGCTATACAAGTGAGAATTAAAGAAACCATAAACAATATGCGTTAAATAAAATAAATATTTTTAAAATCTTTAAGGATCATTTACCCGTCTCGTTTCATCGCTAGTTTCTGCTTTGAGTTGAGTTGAATTTTAATAACAGATTTACAAATCCTAAAGCGAACAAAGCTGCCCTAGCATTACATTTTCAACCAAAAGCTTATAAAATCATCGAAAAGCTGTAGAAAACAGAAGAAAGAAAGTAGTAGAAGACAACAGTGCACATGTTCAAATGCAGCAACATTAGCTGCTCCTTGTCAACACTTTTTATTGTGCCGTCAACAGCTTCTTTCGTTTAGTTGTTTTACCATTTGATAGCAAGAAAAAGGTACTTACAGTTATGAGCAAATATCCTTGCTTTTTGCAAAAGTCAGAAACAGCTAACAGATGAAGGTTGAACTGAGCGCCGAAGTGGTAAATAGAAAAACAGCAGTTGGGTAGTGGAGAAATGATAAAAGAAGAATAAGAAAGAAATTCAGTGAATCAAACGCAAATGAAAACTTATTTATTGTGAGACAGAGCAATATTTTGCCAATGAAATTAGTTTTCTGCACAACGGAGTACGTAATGAAGCTTGAGGCGATTGCGACAGCACACTGTGCGCAGTGTGAGGCTTCACACTTAATTAATTTATTAATGACACAAACTCTGAGAATAAGAGGAGTTTTGTGTCTCGAAATATACGAAAAATAAGTGTCCGAAGCGGTTGATGCAATTATTTCACTTAATAAGTATTATGTTTATGTCTTTACTAGTCTTGTAGTATAATTTAGTTGAGTTTAAATAAACTGTGGTCAGATCAGATCGAACATGACATTGAGTCGTCCTTTTTGGCGGAACTTTTCGTTAGCTAAACAAAAATATTTTTTAAAAGGATTGTCCTTATTTTAAGTTTAGTATTCTGAAATCGTAAAAAATAAATGTGATGAAAAATACTAAACTGTCAGCAGTTAAACACGTGAAAGAAAATAGAGCTTACTGGCAAACATTTGCACTAAGTAGAATTTATGAATGAGGCCTTCATATAAATATTATATTATTAATATTCATCATCATTTGAAAAAAAAATGAGTTAATTTCTTTTACTCTTTTGCTGATGTTTCTGTCGTCCCTTAACTCACCGCTCCGTCCTCTATGAGAGTAATAATAAATAATTTACAGTTATCTGTGGGAGAAGTAAGCCAACTTAGCTGTAAAATATAATAAATAATGCATGCCGAGGAGAATAAGTAGGTATACTAAAGGCGCATTGTTCGACTATATATTATAGCAGCTGTGTACATAAATATTATCTGAATATTAAACCAATAAACAGCCAACACTTTTGTGCGCCATTAAAACGTCAATCAAACAGCCGTGCACATAGTTCGATTATTTTCATAATAGTAAATTTAGCAGTAGACCTGGGGTATATGCCGCTGTTTAATGGCCACAATGATTATAGAACTGCGCGTTAATTCACTATGTTGCCATGATATAATTTACATAACGCAGATATGCTTTGCGAAAATATATACCTTTGAAGTTATTATAGATTTTTGAAATCCGTATAAGATTTGATTTTCTTTTGGGCGTTTTATTAGCTCATTTAACAGTAAATATCCCAACAAATGACTACTTAAATAAGGAAATAAATAGGTGATATCCAAGTGCGCCACCCGTTCTTGTTTTATTTCTATGAAAATTTGTCGAATGTTCTCTACTTGCACATTAAAGCATCTCTCAACGCATAGTATTTTTAACCCTGCCCCTATTTAATATAACTTTCTATTTATTCGGAGATCCAACTTTACCCACAGCACCTAAACGTAGGTATCTTAAGAGGTTATTTACACTGCAAGTCAGAACGTGCTGGAAAAATTTATTTCTACATACGAAAAGAAATATCTGACGGTGAGGAAGATATTTCCGCTTAAAAGTAATTTAAATTCTAAAAATAAAAAACGTATTATTAATATACTTAATGAATTGAGGTAATGTTCGAAGCTCCAATCAAATTTTCGATTTTCAAAAAATTTTTGTTTTTAAAAAAATTCTTGTTTTGTGAAAAAATTTACACTTCACAGTGGCTGTTTTCATTATAAACTGACAAATATATCTAAGAAGATCATGTAAAAATTTTAAGTCTATTTCCAGACGTTTCGGAAAAATGCTTCCCCATATTCAAAAAACAGCATTTCGAGAAAAGCGTATTTAAATCGCTGGAATGTTTTTTTTTTTTAATTTACAAACGCGTCAATGTCTGCGAAGCTATTTACGGGATTAACTTAAAATTTGCGGAGAATATTCTCAAATACTTTCGTTAAATAAAAATTCAAATTAACCCAACCTTTAAAGCTTGAACGCTTTGACGAGGTCATCCACTAAGTATTTTTCTGTGTCTAACGCATGATTATCGAAAAGATTTTTAGTAATAAGCCTGAAAGTAGTTAATTTAATATAGATATCAGATATTCTCTAGTTCCAACATCAACTGACAATGTAGACATGACTTGAAATACGAATACCTAAGATGTCACTTATCTTCAACTTTTTATTTTTTTTTTTAATTTGGTTTTTTTTACTAACATATTCCAGGGATATACTGATATTATGAATCCAAATGAAATATTGCACTGCTGTTAACTTTAAGTTAATTATGTCTCCAAAATATTGTTTTGTGTCTACCAAATCAAAGTCATCGTTAGACCAGAAATGATGGGCAGCATTGACATTATGGTACTATATGTTCTTCAACAGACAAGTATGTAAGAACGATTGGTTTTATTTATCACATTTATGTTTTTAGTATGATCAATAGTGGAGATTCACAAGTATTTATGCTGACGTCTTCGTATAGCATTCAGGCATAGCATGGTATAAATTTTTTTCCACTTCATGAGTATCTAAATAATATTTTTTATGTTTTCAAATTCACTAATCACAAAATATTTTTAACGAGTTTTTATGCTGTGAAAAACAACAAATATTTATTTCAGATTACAAGTACTTAGTATGTTATTATTTATGGTAAAACTTAATTAATTCAATATTAGTTCATTGAAAATGACCTCAATTTCCATATACTCTTATTTCCGTCGAAAATTTATATACAACGATCACACACGCCAAGGGTGCTATGGGAATTCTTCCATAAAATGTTTAACTTTTTTTTGAGTACAAAACTTTGCCAATTGTTTTTCCGTTGTATGCATAAAGCGCTGTGTAACATTATTGCCAAAATGATTGCAAATACTCGCTATGTGTTCTCATTATTTTGGCAATCGCGTGTTTGGCGCTCATTGATTAAATTGGCCCAGCGCAATAACAACCACCTTCTTAGGCGGCACAAACAGGTGTAGGAACAACAAGATTAGAAGCACTTGAGTGCCGTATAAACACAACAACAATACATGTGCTTGCTTTAGTGTTTACGTGTAGCTTTCCGACTCAAAAGCAATAACATTTGTGCTCAATTCGTAGGCATTGACTTTTAGTTGCCTTACTTATTTATGCTTGTGTGTAGTAATTTATGCCGTTATCGCTTTTCGAAAATTTATGCTTGCTTTTATTGATATTTACGGTTAATCGTGATGTCTGCTGTAATCGAATATTTGTGTTTTGGCCGCATGTTACCTGTGTTTGCCCAAAACTACTTTAATTAATGTTAAATTAAATAATAATTAATGTTATTTATTAAGGTGACACAGAAATCGGTTGCATTTTGTAGTTTGGTAAGGTGATTGCCGCAGATATTTAAATGTCTTCCATTGCCTTGGTTTCAAGCCATTTGTTTTTGATTGAAAAGGCAATAAGTAGGATCTGATAAGATTAGATAAAGGCTAATACGATGAAATGCCTCATCGCTTATATTCATTACTTATAATGGCATACGAATTTCAGTTTCTAAAATCTTACTCATGACGAATCTCCTTTGTTTTAATGAAATGATTGGACTTTCTCTTCAGCTATCTGCTATATTCCAAAAATTTGTTTAAAATAATGAACCTACAATTTCCAATTCCTTAAAACTCGTTGCAAAATATTTCCAAAACAACTTCCATACATCCTATAGCATTTTTCCAGCAGCGTGAATACCACTGTATATTATCGAAATTTTATGTCATACAAAATAGCTCACAATCTATGAGGTTTGCTTTGTGGGATCAAGGATGTAATTTCACATAATTATCTTGAAAGAATTACTGTTACGCTGCACTACATACCACTCATCAAAGCAATCGCTACTTTTATCTTTTTATTAAGTATTCACTTTCAATCGCTAAAAATAGCATTCTGCTTTCGTTTACTCTCAGGACACTGAGGCTCGTCGTGAATACGACCAACCCATTTTGACAGCAGCATGACGACATCTGCAACCACCACTGCCGCAGCCTCGGCACAGATCTTTCGTTCGCTGTCATCGGAGAGCCAGAAAAATGATTGGTCCAAACGTTTGTCGTTGCGCGGCATGCGACGCGGTGGCAGTGCTGGCAGCAGCAACATCAGCAAAGAGGTAAGTACTTACACACACACACACACGTATATACATACCAGCATGTAACAGTAAGTGCACTCCAAAGCGCAGACACCATTAAAAAGCCTGTCGATTCCTTTTCCACTTGACAGCGACGAACGACGTTCTCGTTCGCTTTTATCTTACTGCTTGACTCATGACAGACAAACAGTGGACTCGCTGTGTGACCTTGTCTGCAAGTAATGTTGAGTTGTCAGTTAAGCTTACTCCATTTGTGGAAGGAAATTTTAAGAGAAAGCTTTTGTAGAAATTAATTTTTGCTTTATTCTTGTACTTATTCTCTGGAGGAACCGAAGCTCAAGCACAAATTCTTTAATCGCTCGTCCTCGTTGAAGCATGCTAGCGCTACAAAGGCCACAATGGAACTCCAAACACCATCACAACAAACATCACACCAACAATTGGGGCAACAGAACTCGGCCGCGGCGCCGAAAAAGTCAAACTGGGAGGTAATTGAACATTTCAACACGAGCAGCACCAAGGGCGGCAAGGCGGTGGTGAGTAGCAGTCTAATAGCGGTAAGTATATACCGTCCATAGTCAGTTATCCATTTACTATAATAAAATGCTGGTTTTATATCAGATTTGCGCATTTGTCCTAAGAATTCTTTACTGTCAGATTTTGCGAAAATTCTTTTACTATTGTACTCAAATTTTGGGAAACAGCTCGTGAAATTTTCGTCACTTATCGCGTGTTTATTAGATTTTTTACGAATCTTCCTCAGTGTACGAGAGATCCAGGTGTCCAAGAGTACTCGGAAGACGGATATGCGAGCATTATTAGTTGCCGGAATGGTCTCAACAAGGGTGCCTTGCTTTGTTTTCAGCTATTCCTTTATCCTCCCATTTGATGCAAAATAGTTGGTTTGGATCGAAAGCAAGTTCAAACAGTCCCTTTTCTATTAGGAAAATTTAACTTTTTCTTTCAATATCTCAACTCAAATCTCTCTCTTTGTCTGCGAGAGTTTGTTCGGTTTCTTAGTTCATTAATTGAATCAGCTGACTTCTTTCACCCTGCTGGCACGTAATATAGTGCAGTCCGTAAACCTCTCAGTTGCTTGCCACTAAATCAAAGCTTGACCCAAAATAGAAAGAGTTTGTCGGCAAAGTGTCGCAACTTGTTGAACAACTGCCAAGTTTTGTTTATTTTCGCATAACATATTGCTTCCACAGTCACATCTACGATTATGCGTGTGTGTGTGCGCCTCACTTGTATGTGTATGACTGTGCTGGTAGTTCAAGCAAACTGTGCGAAAGTTTAACAAGTTTTGACAGACAATTCCCAAGGTCATAACTACTCGGCGCAGCGGGAGCAGATCAATTGAAGTGTGCTGAGATTCCTTAAGTGCGTGTGCGAAACCCTGCACACACACAGACATGAGCGAGTGAACACACTAAATATTTATGTTTATGCGCTTGTGCGCTGATACGCAGACGACAGTAGGTGTAACGAACGATGAGCATATTATACAAATTTAAATTGACTTTTATTAAAATTTAATGAGAGCAATTTGCCAAAGTTATGCGACAGTTAAAACAGGCAACAACAAAAACAAAAGCGCAACCAAACTGGCTATTAAACCAAACAACTTATAAGGGTTACTATGCTTTTGCGTCGTTGTTGGGTAATTTGAAATAATAGCATGCTTGACGTGGTGAGTGAAGATAGAAAATGGGTCTGAAAGATGCACGCTTAAAGAAAATGTGTCAAAAGCAGTTTGAAGAATGCTAGAGACAATAAGTGAAGCTGTCGAAGGATTTTTTAAATTTAAATAATTCAAGTTATTCATGTCAGGCACATACAGTTCGCTTGAAGGCACCTAATTTCAAGCCTGAAATTCTCCCAAATTTCACATTTTCAAATCGGTTTCCACATAACTTTGATGGTATAAAGGGACTTTATTAAAGTGAATTAATATTAGTTATAAACATCGGGTCTTAGCCAGTATCCAAAAGGAGTTAGTGAACTTATTACCTCTGAGAAATTCAAATTCTAGGAATAATGGCGTGCCACTGCTTCTGAAGAAAAATAAAGAAAAATTTTTATTTTAGAACATAAAGCAGGCCAATTGATACAAGTCTTATAGAATAAAATCCACAAGAGTTTTAGTTAGCCCTAACCTTCAACAGTCCTAATCTTCAATTTGACGGCTGTCGGCTTATTAGTTTGTGAACTATATCAAGTTGAGTGAAATAAGCACCGAAATCGGTGAACGCAGTGATCGCTCAAAAGAAGTTTTAACCAATAAAAAAAAAACAAAAAAAGTTCACAAAATAAATTTGGACGACCGTAATGTGAAGTTGTTCGAGGTAGGAGGCACCCTATCAAGTGAACGTGTACATAATATTATTCACGAATATTTGGGTATGGGAAATCTCAGTGCAAAGTGGTAGCCGCGAAAGCTCACTTTGGACCGAAAACAATTACGAGTTAATGAAACGCTTTGGAGACATTTTCAATCCGAATTCCAATCGACAGTCATCCGAATGGACCACACATGATGAACTAGCTCCAAAGTGTGGATAACGGCAACAGTCAGCTGGCAAGGATATGGCGTCTTTATTTTGGGATGACTATTAAATAATTATTATTATTACCCTAGAAAAGGAGGAACCCTCAACAGCGACTATTAAATACTGTTTAGTAAACCGTTTGTGCAGAGACAGAAAGCGCTGTTGCGCCAAGAGAATACACTGTGTTAGAAGTCAGCGAAAACGATGGCAAAAATTCTTGTATGGGGCTTCGAGTTGCTACTGCATGCATCGTATTCTTCAGAACTCATCGCCAGGGACTAATTCCTGTTCTCAAGTCTCAAAATAATGCTTAGTTGGGAAGACATTTTCATCGAATGAAGAAGTCTTCGAAGAAACTGAAGCTTAATTTGAAGCGAACGACAAATCATATAATAAAAATGGTATCGAAAAACTAGATGGTCGCTATAATCAGTGCATCGCGCTTGGGAAAAAATATTTTAAAGAAAGTATTAGACTGTGGTAGGCCGGCGACTTTTTCATCTGTTATATATGATATTTCGTTGGAATTAATATGGTACTATGATATACTTTCATGAAGATTTTAGTTATCTGACTTTACTTTGAATATAATTTTGTGGACTTACCTTACTCAATGGAATGAGGTTTCATGAATCCAAAAGTATTGTTTTGTATTTATTTCGGTTCTTTCAACTCTCATTCAGTATATTTTTGAGAAAATATCTGTTCTTGTTTATTTTATAATTACTTTTGAACCTTTATTTATGGTATCTCATTATAACAAACTTATTAAGTCTACGGTAAATACAATATAGAAGAGTGTGATGAAAATGGTTCTTATGGGGTACATAAGATTCACACAGAAGGAGCCAAATTATATTTAATAAGCTTTCCTGTCTATATTTCAGTTTATGCCACAAAAGTATTATGCTGAAACAGTAAAAAAAAAGTTCTTCTTTTCTTTCCCTCGTAGTAAATATTAAAGGCTGTGATAAAAACTCAATTATGCCTGCTCTCTTTTATACCTGTGAATATAACATGGCAAAGCTTTCTTAAACGGTGTGTTCAAGCGCAAAACTATGCTTTTACAAGCATTTAGTTGGGAATTTATTTATGAAATTTATTGAGCAACATTCTGCTTATATTTATCTGGTGTGGTATAATTTTGGAATAACTATTACTTTTTGCAATTTTGTGATTCGATAAAAAATATGAGCTAATGCAAATATTTATTCAACATTTATCTGATCAAAAGCTGTTTTTTTATTTTGTTATTTCAGGCCGGCATAACACGCTGCAACATAGACGAATCGATCGATTCCACCAACTCCAGTTCAACGTGCCCCAGCCCCATGGTGTATCAGCGCGATGAAGCGCATTTACTGCAGCAAAGTAAGCGAACACGTTGAAGCAATTGATTGTGCAATATATTGCATGAATTACTATTTTCATATTTTTTTTTTTAAATTATTTTTTATCTCAATATTTAGGATATACGCCCTTTCCCTCGGAATTTTTATTGTTTTTATGTTATGAAATAGATGTTTACGCTGTATTTATATATAACATTACATTTAATTTTTATCAACAAATATTGATATTTCAGAATCCGTTTTTTCATCATGTTTGACTAGTTGATTTTTCTGATCGGAATTTTGGTGATTAAAATTAAAAGTTTACTATGGTAGAAGACTTTTTCATACTCAATTCTCTTAAACTTTGAATTGCCTTTATGTTTTGGTAATCTAGGAACGTCGCAGGAATAAAATGAAAGTGTAGAACTAGCACGTACACAGACTAAAATCATTTCCCCAGTTTTCTTGCAATTTCTTAGCTATGCACGCATGCGTAGCTAAAGGATGTGCTTCCTTAACTAATTCACAATATGACATTGTTTAGCATATTTCCCAAGACAAATATTGTAGTTGCAACAGCTGCTGCTTTAACTCATGTGAATATACTGACAATATACTGGAAATGCTGTCAGGAAAGCTCGCACATGCAAACACACGTCTGAGGAAGTGCTTATTTCTGCATTTGCATGCGTTTCCCCCTGTTTACCTACCGTTTTCCGAACGTTTGCCGGATTTTTGCTTTGTTGGTGTTTTAATAACAAATTAAGGTAGCATTTTATGATTGAATTTTAATAAACTTAATTCCATTGTAAAGGAAGTGCTGGCAGCCACACACACTTTGCTTTGTTGTACTGTGTAAATTATACACATTAGCTTGGTAGTTTTTAGAAAATTAAAATTCCTCACAGCTGACATAACTAATAGTGACAAGAGACTTTAGGTAAAGCGTATTGTTTTTTTAAAGGATGCTAGACAATAATTGGAGGATGGAGTCATGTGTAGAAGTTCACGGAAGTGAGGAAAGTTTTCTGATCGCCATTCACTTGGGAGTGGC